GATACGAGGGGACCGAACGTGATTTGTGACAACGACTGATAACAAATGAGCAAGGCCTAGACGGCTGGAGCAAGTAGGTCTCCTTCATGTCAACAGTCACATCTTGGTATTCAAACATTGTTCCTTGATATTTTCATTCAACAAGACAGGTAGATGCAGTGATAGGAACCGATCAAAAACAATCCTCCATAACGAGATGAAAATTTGGTTTATTTTTCGCTGTTGGACTACGACCGCAATCCAGCAAGTTTTCTGACTCAATGGCACATCAAGGTTTCTTTTTGTTTCGATATCTATTGTGACCAAACTCATACGACCGCCAGTGATCTGAGATTCCCAATTAATGATAAATCCGTAGCGAAGAAAGGTTCGCTGATAACCGAATTTGATAATGTGCGGCATTATCACTCGACAACATTTGTGAGTACCATTCAAGACTCTAATCGTCAGTCAGTTAAGCCATCATTGGGGCATGTCTTTGAGATGAATCTGATGTCTTGATTTGATTTGAGATAACCTCTTTCTTTTTTGAGAAAAAGCCTATGTGATATGCTTAGACGACATAATATGTATATTCGAGCTCTGCATCAGTTTATACTGTCACTCAGCTAAACAGCGGTTACAAACTTTGAGAAAAAAAAATTCGTTCAATTCAACATTTTTTGGGATACGGTGTTTGACACAAAAAGGAGGAGGGCCTGCCGTTAGCTGGGCGATCCGACTGGTAAAATATTCACGCCTTTAGCATGAACCTTGAAGCCCCGATAGCACAGTTCACGATAATTTTTAGGTATCCTCTCTAATTCGAGAAGCCGAAGTATTGGTTGGGAAGACTGCGTCAGTGCAAAAGAAGCAGCAAATTCGTCGTTCTTGTGGAAAATAAGGGTCCTAAAAAGTGGTGAAAATAGAGGCTGTACGAGATTACCATGACGGAAATGACACAAAAGGGTATCTGGACGGGATTTTTTGCAACGCCGTAAAGAACTGACTACACCAAGCCAAAACTGTCCAGAATAGTTTTTTGCTGTCACTATTTGTCATAAAAAGTTGTTTGAACTTCCTACTTGGGCTCCCTTGTAAATAGCGCGACATCCACGATCCCGCTGAAAATCGTCCGCACATACGCACGGGACATTTTTGAGCCTTTGTAACTCCCTGTATAAGCCGTTTTCCGCAGACGGAGTCATATATGATGTAAAAGGGACCATAGAATTATCATGACGGCATATCTCATTAGCCATTTTAATCGTGAGCTGTTCCTTTGACACTTTGATGAGTGACGGGGTCGTCGATGGTTGGGGACAGGAAATGGTAGCAACCGATAGAAGATGATAGGGAGGCTTAGAAGGCAAAAGCGATCGTACGCTACGCCCTTCGTCAACATACACTGTGAATCATTATGGGAAATACACAGAGGGTACGCCATACCGAGGCCTTTTATTCGCTAAAAGAATCTGTACCGTAACTCTTCATGTTGTGCAAAGACGGATACAGGTAATACCTCATTCTATGGAATCGTTACGGGAGTACGGTAAGGGTGCCTCCTTTCGCCACTGCTGTTCAACATCTATCTAGATTTTGTCATAAGGAAAACAACACAGCAAGCAACGGTAAGTGTACGCTGGTTCAACGATGATAGGCTGACTGATCTAGACTTTGCGGATGACATCGCACTTATTGCTGAAGACAAAGACGTATTGCAAAAGGTCACCGATGCTCTCAATGAAGTAGCGAGCATGATTGTATTACGAATTGGCGCCAGTAAGTCGAAAGCTGCTATGTCAATCGGTCAAGCTCGCACGCAGTTGAACATCAATGTGGAGGATACAATGTTGGAAAACATCGACAAGTTTACTTATCTCGGGGGTACGACAACCCATGATGGCTATATCAAAGCAGACGTTTGTAGCCGGATTACAAAAGCTACAGAGGTGTTCAGAAGACTCCTGCCAATATGGTCACGTTCGTCCATATTTCGAAACATCAAGATTAGCCTATATTCTTCCATTGTGATTCCTTACGCAATTTATGCAAACGAAATATGGAAGTATATGGTACAGTCAAAAAGTACAGTCAAAAAGATGGACGCTTTCCACCACAGATGTCTGCGAATGATCATGAAGACACGGTACACGGATCACTTTACGAATGAGGAAGTTCTGCACCATTCTGGTATGAATAGCCTATAAGTTTTTGTGGCACGGCGTAGACTTCGATGGGCCGGTCATGTGTTGCGTATGCCGCAGCAACGTATTCCAAAAATGGCTATGTATTGGACACCTAAAGGGACCAAGCGAGGAAGAAGTCGTTCCAGAAACGCGTGGGAGCACCTGACAACGACCTCCATATCATGAATGTTTCCAGGGACGAAGGCACTGCACAGGACCGGCAACAGTGGGAATACTTCTTCGTCCGATGTGCCCAATGGCAAGTGTGGAAGTAAGTTTAAGTAAGTCATCCAGATGGGTGTTAGAAAAGTACCCAAGTTTTGAAGATTAACAATTGAAAATCACATTGCTGTAAATAACAGAACAATAAGTATTTCTGCACAGGTTTGCATATGGCACATTATGTTTGCCCTATCAGATTCTAGCTTCCTTAAAGACACAATCCACTATAAAAACTAGAGGCTCTGCCGTAGAAAAATAGGGCTAATATTATGTATAGGCCCCACAACCCTCTCAGCCAACGTACACACTTAGAGCGTACAAGTTCTGACGGTGTTGTAGAGGCTGTATAAGTTGCAGCAAAGTTGCGGCAAAGTTCGTGGCGATTTGATCGACCTTAGCGCCTATCATTGGGCAAAAAATTGGAGTGGATTAGATTATTATGGTCAGCTGATCCTACTAATCTATTCTACTTCAAATTCGGGCCCCGATCATAGGCGCTAAAGTCGATCCACGAATTTCACCGCTCTTATTGCCAAGACGCACGTATGTACCCATATACGCGGCCAGGAGTAACGGAACTTCTTCCCGATTGCGGCATTCTCTCATGCGACATGCAACAAATGTCACTGCAATTGCCCTACTCACCCCGCCTCCCCGCCAACAGATAAGACGCGATACCTTTCGCTGATTGCCTTTCTTTTTTATTAGATTTGATCGTTTTTTATCCTGCTTCTTTTTCGTTTTTATTTTTATTGGGTTGTAACATAAGTTCGTAGAGTTTTCTCACAAAGATTTATCTGAACCAAAAAACATTAATTATAATAATAAATTAACCAATGATGTATCCTCCGTTACTGTTCACGACCTCTTCCCATCTATCGACCAATTTGTTGATGGCGATTCGCCGAAAATCGGCCGTTGTGGTGTTGAAGAATTTGTTGAGCCAGTTTTTAAGGTCACCTTCGCCATCGAAGGTAACACCCCTCATTGGGTTTAACATAGAGCGAAAAAGGTGTTAGGTGCAGGTGCAAGATCCGGAGAGTGCGCTGGATGCTGAAGAACCCCCCATTCAAGCTCTTGCAGTGCTGTTTTGACGACTTAAGCAATATGGGGCCTGGTGTTGTCGTGGAGCAAGATGACTTGACCACCTCTATGAGGTCATTTCAGCCGAATAGCCTCACTTACACTGTTTAGCTGGGTAATGTAGACCTCCTTGTTGACAGTGGCGTTTCGTTCGAGCAGTTTCCCAGTGCACCATGCCTACCCAGTCCCACCAAACGCAGATCATGACCTTTTTTTGGGTGAAGATCTTGCTTGACTCTCGGCTTTGGCGCCTTCCCTGGGGCTACCCACACCTTTCAGTAGACACACCTAAGACACCTTTCCCGTACACAGTGCATATGTCCCTAGCGGTTTCGGCTGCTTTTTTGACCTCGACGGAAAGCATAGAAAAGCAGATGTCGAAAATGCTAAATTTTTCTTCCTGGATATTCCATTTCTGAGCCCTAAAAAAGACGAACAATTTAATTATCCTAAAAACGAATAAAACAGTTTTGTAGAGGAGAAAGGGCTCTTTCAAATGAATGTATACACTTTGCTAAAAAACAAAATAACTCGTTGTAAAATAATTCTAACGCAAAACTCTACGAACTTATGTTACAACCCAATATTAGGCTTAATTAATTCGAATGACTCCTCCTATATTAGCGATGATCAAGACCGCATTGGAATTGAAGAGATCAGCCAGCAAATTCAAATAATTAAAGGACTTCCTACCTCACGAATTGCGCGCTCCAATTTTTCATCGCAACAATGCGATACGCGGCAGGTGCGGCGTGGGCGACGCCGTTACCGAGGAGAAGATTCCGGATCCCGCGGCCAGCAGGCAACTTACTATAGCCAACTGTACGCGATGGCACACGCATGTGATACTCGCCCAATAACCCCTTCCACTTTGCAACTTTTGCCGCCATATTCTTCCATCCCCCAGTTTAAGTACTTTTTCGAAGCTTTACATCTCTCGAAATACGACAACTTTTGCACTAATATGGACTATCACCTCTATTAATCATCCCAACTATACAACTCAAAATTATCGTGAACTGCGCAACCGAGGCCTAATTCTTACACTAACACCCTTCAATCATCCTCCACCTTTGCCACTCTATTTCAGTACCGCCTCGATCGCCAATTCAACCGGTTCTCTACCATCCGAACACTTCTGTTGGACGGTTGCGATTCGATTTGTTATTTGAGCTCTGTTTGAGAAACAATTTATGTAAAAAACAATCAAAATGACGATCCAAGCACTACATTGCAATAAATATCCTCAACGTTCCAGGTTGGTTAAATGTAAACATATATAGCATCATAGAATTTGACAGAAAATCCACAAATCAATCAAAGATCCTAACACTGCTGATTTTCAAAGTGTACGTAGAGCTCTTGGATGACGCCTCGTATTAAAACTGAGATGACAATCACGACAAATTTGAAAACAACGGAGGGAAAATCACATCACATGCTGAATTTTACCTGTATCTCCCATAAAACATTTAATTGCCTCATTGAGGCATGATACGGTCTCACCTAAAGAAAAAGAGCTGCTGCCTATAACTCCACTTTATCAGTCTTTGTATCCGTATCCTTAACTGACCCTACGGCTTCATGTGAATTACCCTCTATATCACCAGTCTCCTTCGCGGTTTCACTCTCAACTGTTGTACCTTTCTCTATATCATTATCTGACTGTTCGCCTGTTTGAGAATCCTTATCTGAATCTGTAGCCTTCATTGTGTCTTCTCCCTCAGCTGTTGCTGACCCTTCAGTGCTGTCTTTCTTTCCCGACTCAGATTTAGAATCGTTCTTCATTCGATCTTCCAGATCTTTGAGCTTTGCTTGCCTCATCTTCTTCATAAAGGAACTTAATTCGCGATCCAACGATTTTAACTGAAAGCAAACATTGTTGGTGGATAGAATGAAAAATAAAGAGGATTCCTAACGAGTAAAGCTACGACCGAAAAATCAAGTTGCTTATCTATATACCCTAAAATTCCATATATAAGAGCGGTTTGATTTACCGGTGAAAAAGGAATTGGAATGAAATTGAAATTGTATGCAGTTACCCCTCTAACTTGATGGATGGATAAATAAAAATCCGAGAAGTTCAGAAGAAGCTCCACCCCTCAAATCTAAAACCCGCCCACTTGATGAACAATTCATACAGAAAAATAGCGAATGTAACGGATCGCTGTTTTTCTATATGAATTGTTTAATAAGTGGGCGGGGTTTAGAGTTGAGGGGCGGAGCTTCTTCTAAACTTCTTTTCCGATTTTTGTTTACCCATCCATCTCAAGTTAGAGGGGTGACTGTATTCAATTTCTGTTTCATTCCAATTCATTTTTCACCGGTAAATCAAACCGCTCTTATCTATGAGATTTTAGGGTGCTTGCGTAATACAAGTAGAAAAAGCTGAAACTTAATGTAAGAAAAGGACCACCCTGAAAACCTCCGGTTGATTTTCCGCGACAGTATGTTTAATGCTTGAGGAAAAGAAGAGTACACCATACTCATTCCATTGCTACTTGAAATGACCAGTTTGCTGCAGATCTGCTTGCAAAAAAGCAGGGTGGAAGTAGGATAAAGCGTGTTGAGTAAACTTCTCGGGTAGAAAATAATGGAATTAGAAAAGGAAGAAGTAAGGCGGTGAGGTGCACAAGATTTCTGACTATAAACGCTGTATAGATGCGTCGAAGTTGTATTCGAATGTTCGTGCGCGAAAAAAAAAATCAAGTTGCAAAACCCTCACACAATTTAAATGTGATTAACTTGAAATCGCGCGGTGGTGGGCGGTGGGCGACGTGTGTGGCGTGACTCAGTTTCAGTGAAGATAGAATCGAGGGTTCGCCAGAAAAAAAGCCGAGATCCGTTGAAGTATGAAAGTCGCAATGAGATGAAAATATGTATAATAGTAGTCTATTCAGCGCAGACAAGTCACATAGGCAATAAGCCGCTTTCGACCAGGTTCTTGCGGATGTCGCAACACGTCCAAGGAAGTCATCAACTCTCTTTGCTAGAGTTCCACCCATACTCATGAGGAGAGGTCGCCCATGTGAGTCATTTCCTATTTTGAAGCTCACACAGAAACGAAAGTTTTGTACGGAAACCAAGTTCTTTCAGTCATCTGGGAGTGGGTAGGCGTTTCAACACCAAGTTTTGACGCGACTCACCCAAGTGACACCCCAACTATCGTTTACTTGCCAAGGCTTTTTTTTTTGATGCATCATATACGTGACGGAATTAGGGTGATTATCAAACAAGGCTATGGTACAAAATGAATATGTGGATCGCGAAGTGCTGGTGTTTGGTATTTCATTTCACCTTGAGTTCAGTGAATAAACCGAGTTTACGTACTGAGTTTCCATTCCTGTAAAGCTCATTACGCCAATTGTAAGCATTTTTCACGTGATTTACCACTTTTGGATTTTGCGCTAACCTAAATGGGTATCCCTTCCCTTGAACTGCCTGCACTGATCTTGGCTCGGAATGTGCTGTAAAATATAAAACCGAAGACAGTCCACTGTTGATACAAGAGAATGCTTTGCAGAAGTATTTCTGTTAAAGGCACGGTTCACGATAAAAAAAGGTTACTGAGTTCTTCCTTTAGGAATACCCAGCGCCCCCATGGGTCGTAGATTGGACCCTCTTGCTCCCACACTCTCGGCGCTTAGGGCATAGTGGGAGCCCCGTTGCTGCCGTAGTTCGCTTTCCCGCCCCTCGATCGGTTTCACGTTAGACGAGTGTCGAGAAAATACAGATTGCTATTATTCGTTCTAGGACTCACGCACAATCAGCTAATCGCCGAGTGATGAGGCGATGTTTTTCTCCCATTTTTTTCCCCTGTTTTTCTTTTTGGTGCCGCGATCCCTTATTCAATTTCCTACTCCTAGAGGCTGAAAAAGGTGAGCTACTTTTGCTGTTACTAGGAGTTTTTTTGTTTATTTATGCTATAAGTGAATGAGTTTTTGCTTACGCAGTTTCTTCACCTCAATCGCACTTGTTTCGATCTTGTCTTCCATTTTTCTTCATAATCTGGATTACCCAAAATTATCGTGAACTGTGTCTTTAAGACCGATACGAGGTGACTGAGTACAACTTTTTGAACTCATCTTGAGAACCGCTATCGAAATATACATAATTTAACCTTACCTTGGCAACTACTTCACTTGTGAGCACGGCTGGTTCTTCATAGGGTTGCTTTCCTTCCTGCTCTGCTTTCTTTTCTTGCAACCATGATGTTAGTTTTTCCAACTTCTTCGTAAAGGCGTCAGAATCGGTCTAAAAAAGAGCTGCGCTACTGAAATTCTTCAAGCATACTTATTCGTCCTTCAGTGATATTTATTTTCAATCAATCATTATCTTGAAAAAAAATTTCACTCACCTTGTTGAACAACGATTTCTCATCGTCACCGCCCATGCTCGCCATTACACGCGAAGAGTTCAGCATTGATTCAAGATTCGCCAGCGCTTGTGGAAGGGTCTGATAAACACAATTGTAAACTATATGAGAGACTGTAATTTATTCGATTGATAATAAGGTCGCACGAGAATCAAATTAAAACAAGCAGTAGAGATTCTTCAGAGTTCCGTCGCGACAAAAAATGGAAAGCTCATTGAGTTACAACATAAGATCTTTTACAGTTAAGCAAATACCAGACACCATTTCTGGCTGTTCGCGCTCACCCTGCCATATATACTCTCCAGCGCGCTTCATGAATTCCCTTTCACAAAACTCTCGTGATCAAACTCAATGCACTTTCTACGCCCAGCACGTAATAGCCACTGCAGTTCAATCTCTACCATGCCATGGTTGACAGCACAGTTAGACGGATTCAAAGATAGCAATACCATAACTACAACGAGACTGGAGCGTGAAGATAGTTATTAAAAACTAGGCTCTTGCAAACTCACTGCTTTGGGACGCATTCGTAGAAATGAGCTTCCAAATCATAATTTACCACGGTTTTTCTTTTGAAATCCTAAGTTGCGCCGCTCCATCGTAAATAACAACCCGAGAACGGCACGATCTACGCCATAAGAAATGGACTTTTAGACGATCAATCAAAGGTGAATGATGAACGAAGGAAACTGATCGAATTCTCTTTGAAAAGATAATGAAGTCCTCTACACAGGAATCTGAGCTGTAATGTCTATTGCCATACCCTTTTGACTATCAAGGCTCCAAAGGGAAATTTTTCAGGTCATTCAGTTGCAAATTCATGATAGGGGATGTAGGGAATCAAACAAGAAGCAATAGATGCTTTAATATTCAACTCCTTGAAGTAAACAAAAAAACTAAAATTATGAGTTTGGGCACTGTGTAAGGTTAACTTGACGAAATCAAGAGTGTCAACAAACTACCAGCGTTGATGTAGAGGAAAGCTTGCCCATTGGATTAATTCAAATTTGAACACATTCCAATGCGTAAACTTAAATGCCTTTTAATTAACGGCTAGCTTCCGCTGCTACTCAGCAGATATGTAAGACCACTGGGCGAAAATTCAGTGAGAATGCAGTTATTGTCGGGCAAGTGTCACGAACTGTCGACAACTCGAAATACAGCAGCTGTACCATTGAAAGGTACACTGGGGTCAGAAGGTATAAAAAAAGGTTTGCTGACAAGTTTTACCTGAAAAGAGGAGCTTAATATATAGTTGAAACTGTATATTTGAACATATAAGAAAAGCAGAAAATTTTGCAACGGTGTGTATATGCCCTCTGAATAAAAACTTATGTAAGAGTAACTATCGTGAGATAGTAGAAACACTCACTTTTCCCTCATCAATCCTCTTCTTTATTGGTCGTACCATTGCCACCAAACCTGCATGATTTTTTGTGAAATCGCCTGTTTTCGTCTCTGGCACCACCTCTTCTTCAAGCCAGGTTCTTATACGTTTCGACTGAAACAACCTGACTTAATAAGGAGGGAAGTCGGCCATTGCAAAGATAATTCATTCAAGTCCGTTCTGCAATAGAGTATTTTGCTATCACTGCATTTATACACCGCAAAGATGAACCCAGTGTCATTATCTTCACGATATACAATGCGTTCACTAATGATACAGCCAAAATTCATAACTCTGTTCAGAAACGTTCTATAATAGAATATGGAAAAGAGTGGCCAGGGGCTACTGAACAATTGCGGTCAAGTCCACAGAGTGGGCGGGGGTTCGCACCACGGTAGATGGTGCTGAAGTCAATTATTCAAGAATGTTCTATATTGTTGCAGAACGCAAAAAAGTTAGACTTGTAGAAAAAGTCCATGATCGGTATCTGATGGCCATTTATATATGAACCACAAACGCCCGTGTTTCTGTCGGTCTGCTTGCCTTTTGATGTGTTTATCACCACCTTATATGGCATCTACGCTTTTATTGAAAAGAAACAGCTTATCCAGATTGAAACAAGTGGGGAATGAGTAGAGCTATCAGGAACACATTATCTGAGCTTGGCTAATCCCGCGGAAGGTGTGGGGTGCACGGTTTCAACGAGTTTACATAATCCCTGTTTTCCTGTACTTAAAGCGCTCCAATTTTGTGGGGAAACAGATGGCAGGATGCGAACTTTGAGTGTAGGTTGCAGGAATAGAGTCCGCCCTCTAGGGGTGGGACATGCACGGAAATCGCTTTAGATTTCAAATTCCGAAGGTTTACAGGCGGCGTGACGCGATCACCAATGGCACGAGCTGGGTGTAGATTCCGCTTACTGAGGGTGCGGCATGCGCGAAAACTGTTCCTTTCAAGTTAAGCCGTTCAAAATTAGGAAGGAAACAGGCGGCAGGACTGGACTAGAGTGAAGGAGAGTGAATAAACCGAAACCAGCAATCCTGTTCAGAAGTCTTTCATATTATGCGCCGTCAATCCACAGCTTTACTCCCTTCAGACATGGGGCATCCGTGGGGTAGGACTTACGCTGTGGGGATGTTGGCCGATATACCGATTTGCTCTACCTATCTGTTGTGTGAATGACCGACCAGTGGCCACTTTGTTTCCTTGAGTTGTGCAATGTTTCAACTTCGAGGAGGTTAAAGAGTTGCTGAAGGAATATAGCTAGCTGTAAGCGCAGCAATCGACAATGGCAACCGATATTGACCAGACTCGATTTGTACTACTTGATATGGAACTACCACTCGACACTTTCCTTTCGAGAAGAAAAGGGAAGAAATGATGATAGCCCTGTGTGCCAGTGTGCGTGTAACGACATGTGGTGTATCCTAGATGGAAGTTCACAACATTTCTTCCCGCAGACTTTGAGCGTTAAAATTCGGTAGGAGTATAGGCGGCAGAAGGGAAACACTGATGGAAGGTGGCAAACTAGACTCTCCCTAGAGGGCGATAGGCGTGCACGAAACTTGTCAAGTTGGACTTAGATCGCACAGATTCGACAGGTGTACAGGTAGAGGCGGCAGCACGGGAATGCTGATGGCAGGTGACACGATTGAAGATTAACGAAAGTGAATGGACAAAGATTCTCAAACACACATGAGTTGAGCAGAATCCGCTCATGAGGGGCAAGACGCTCACGAAGTGTGTGTGTGGGTGTTCGACCGGAAATTTGATTCCTGTTCTCCTGCACCGAAGAGTCTAAATTTTAGAGGATGTGGGCAGCAGACCAACTTTAAAGGCGCAGTTCACAATGAAAATGGTTTTTGAGATTCCCAGACAGGATGAATTTGAGGCACCCGCGTATACCATATCTGGCACTATTAGGTCGGAAAACGGCCTAGTTAGGGATTTATAAAGGCTCAAAGATTGGCCCGTGTGAATTCTCGGACGAGTTTCATCGGCATTGTAGAGGCTGCACTGATCACAAGGGAGACCATGTAGGAAGTCCAAACAACTTGTCATGATCCATAGCGACGTCTGGCTTTATGTAATCAGCTCTGCGCAATTGCAATAACTAAATGCCGTCCGAACACCCCTTCCATGTTATTTCCGTCATGGTTATCTCGTTCAACCTCTATTTTCCTTACTTTTGAAGAGCCATATTTTTCTCGGAATCGGCGGATTCTCTTGCTTTCTTCACCACCAATGAGCTATTCCTAATCTATACTTTCGCTTTTCGAATAAAAACGGGTACCTCAAAATTATTGTGAACCGTGCCTTTAATTTTGAGGGACATGGGCAGCTCGGGCGAAAAAGAGGAAAGGCCGGCGCTAGCCGGGCGATCCGACTAGTACCTTAATATCCTTTCGATAGACCCGCACACACAAATACATCGAGTAAGGTATGTATAAGGAACAGATGCAGCTACAGAATACCGAACGAGGCGCATGTGCACGTTCATATTGCAAAAGTTCTATTTTCATCCTCGGAGCCATAAAGTCCATAAAGCGGAAGGTTAGAGATAATATGCATGGCTCTACCGCTCGTATTGGAAAACCACATTAAAAGATATTAAAAAACGAAATGAAAAACTATGGAATACCTCTTGTAGTAATTTGTTCCTTTCCTCATCAGTGGAATGCTTGATAAAGTCTTCTTCTTCTACAAGCAGACTTACTTCGAATGCGTAACCCTCTAACTCGTTCTCCGCCGCCGCGCGTTCACGAGCATGACGCTCACGCTTCTCGAACTGCTCTAATCTGAAAATTCATACATTGAACAAATCGAATGTATCGGTAACCAGTCGGTTTGCCCGGCGAAAGCCGGGCTTCCCTCCTTCTTCGACAAAGTTGTAGTTGTAGTAAAGTAAAGTAAAGTAAGTAGGCTAATTCTCTACTCAATCTTTAAAACAAATAATATTTCCTGTGCACGAAGTTTGACAAAGTACTGACAGGACAGTGCAAGTGGTAATCAGTGTATGTTGGTGCTTACGCCTTCAACTCGAATATTCATGAAAGAGTCAACTATTAGGCAACCAGAGCCTTGGGCAGTACTCACAAATATTTCGCGTGATGGTAACACCATTATCAGATGTCTTTATCAATGGACATTTTTTAGGGAGATATGTATTAGTTGAGAGTTTTAGATTACTGGCGGTCGGTAAGTTTTGTCGCAAATGATATCGAATAAAGAGGATCCTTCATTGAGTCACAAACCTTGCAGGGTAGCGGTCGTAACTTAATAGCAAGAAATGAACAAAATTCTCATCTGCTTATCTTAGTGCCGCTACGGGTTCCCTATCACTGCACTTACCACTCACTTTTTTCACCCTACTCTACCAACCCGTCTTATCGAATAAAACGTACCGAAGAGTCAAAGCGACAGCGTAAATACCGAAGGGTTAGCATTTTGATAGGTAGGTAGCTCTTGCTCTCCTAGACCCCTTATCTTCTCTTATCAGTTGCCATCGGTTCCTGCCGCTGAATGCATACGATACCTACATCCCCATCTCAGGCAATCACTTACAAGGTTCCGGTATTAATACGAAAAGCTGTTATCCTAGCAAATTTGAATGCTTTAGGTCCACGAGAACAAGACTTATAAATATCCGTTCAGCCATTTATTTCGCGCAAAGCTAACCCCTGTGCGCGGAATCCAGGCTGACACCCTCCACAAGAGTCCCTATCCTGCCGTCTGTTCTCCTATCAAATTTGAACGCTCTAGGTTCAAACTGGTAATTTTCGTGCCAACTCCGCTCCCTGCGGTAGAGGTCTAGCCCTGCTATCTACCATAAGTGTTCCCATTAACCCTTCAGTAACCCTGCTAAATTTCAACGCTCTAGATTCAGGTAAACAGGACTTCTAAATCTACCGCTGAAAATTCCTACTGCGCATGCCCCGCGCCTGTGGCAGGAGTCTGGCCCTGCCACCTGCCATAAATTTTCCCTCCTGCTGCCTATAGCCCTACCAAATTTCAACGCTGTAGGTCCAGTTGGACAGGAGTTGTGAATTTGCGCTCGAAAATTTCTAGCGCGCACGCCCCGCCCCTCGTTGCCGAATCTGGTCCTGCCACCTGGAATGAGTGTTCCCATCCTGCCGCCTGTACTTCTACCGAAGTTCAATCCTCCTGGTCCACGGGAACAAAAGTTATGATTTTCCGGTCGAACACACACATCGACACACACACCAACACACCTACAAACCGACGGACCCATTGGCGACAGTGCGTCTCCAAATGATATAGCCACCCTTAATCTCCCCAAGAACTAACAGCATACGGTGTTTCTGAAAAAGTGCCAAAGTAAAAATGTGTCAAATCTCAATTGCAATTCGCATATTATCACCAAATTCAAGCTCGGAAACACAAACAATTTTCTTAGTCAATTTTCAGTAAAAGGTGCTTTTCCAACGTTTCCAAATGATACAGCCATTTCATGTATTCGTATTTTGGTTTAACGCAACGAAATTGCTCTGTTTATGTTATGTTCTCCATTTTCAGGCAATAGGGAGAGGTAGTTGCTTTTAGCATTCGAGAAAGGTACAACCCTCGCCAAAAAGGGGCAGGGACTGTCGAATCACAAAACGCGCGAGATTTTTTGTCGATGTCAATCAGCTGGGGATAATTTCATCAAGAATCTTGAAGCCTATGGAACCAGAATAAGTGCTGGACATCGTTCGCTGCTCTCTGACACAGACAAGCGCCGTATTTTGAGGAAAGCGTCGAACTCCATCAAGTTCTGTATGGAAATCTAATCGTCTGTGAAGCTTAATGTGTCAAAAAAAACACAGCTTGGAAGGTGATCAGAAAGTCCAAGTTCATGGTCAAGCGGGGAATGCACAAGGCGCCCTTCATGATAGAAAGACATCGAGAAAATAAGTTCGCTTTCGCCAGAAGGTGCAGCCGAGGCGAGTGGAATAAGGTGCTCTTCGGGTGCTGACATTTAACCTTCCTTCTCTTGATGGTTTTGGTTGTGGTTTTTTTTTCGA